CTGATGACATGCTACATGGCCTTCCAACTGTGAGGCGAGAGGGTGAGGCATAAGGTCTCGGGTGCAACTGGCAGGGATAAAAGAGATGCCGCACCCCGTCGTTCATAGACTACAATACACTGTCCGCCTCATGCCACCCACTATCCGTCTTGACTACGGCGCCCTCCTTCCCGTTTCCTTCCGTCCGGCATTTCTATCCAGCATTTCCATGCTGCTAGCATCTGGCATCCTGTTTGGCGTCCGTATTTCGGACCTCTCTTCTTATGCCTTTCTCACAGGCGCTCTTCTAGATCTCCTACGTTAATTATTCACTTCAGACTTTATACAATTCGGTACTATCTCTACTCTTGGCTTTGGTACACTGCGAGCGCCGCCATGTCTTCCATCCTCCCTCCAGCCCCCCAGCTACCTGGGATGGCACCTGGGGCGACCACCATTCGCGTCGGACCACTGTACTATCTTTCGACGAGTTAGGAGCGACAGCGAAAAAGCCGTGAAGCTTTCGCCCAGTTTAACGCAGAACCGATCTCCGATAGGGCATCAGTTGCTGCCGTGACGAGGAAGCAACGGCAGAATATTTTTCAAAAGTGGCAAATGTAAGTTCGCCTTGATTGATCTAACGACCATAAGTGAATGCTGAGCCGATCTAAAGCTATTTCCGCAACGTGCTAGGCATGGATCCGGATGATATCTGGCTTCAGCTCTGCGACGAAAGTTTCAAAGCGATAGAATACTGCCAGGCCTTTCTTCAAGACTATGTCGTCTACTCAGTCGAGCAACGAATCGCTCTGGGACCGCAAGAGTATGACGATGTAAGGACTGTGACCTGCACCAAGACGGTCTTGGAAGCATGGAAAGGTTTAGTGAGGTATGCCGACGAACAAGTTCTCTAGGCAAAACGGAGAAGTGATCCGAGGAACGCTAGACACTGGACGCTAGCGGTGAAAGAGCGTAGTACAGGACCAGTTTCCAAGATCAGTCTAGTAAGTCGCAGATTTGCTTTCTACAGCCCTTCATACAATGTGTGCTGAAGTCAGAGTCCGCTAGTGGATCCGAGAAGGGTTAATAGATTCGCTAGGCTTACGTCGAGAATAAACATTCGAAAAGGTAGAGATGATAGATAAAGATGTCTTGATGATCCTGTCGACATTGTGGCGACGGGCAGACGATATCCCCTGCACCGCATCCGAGCGCATTGCCTTTCACTTTGTAATTCTAATGATAGCCATCGGAGGCTTTCGTCAAGGGACATTGTTACGCTTTCGGTACAGCTAAATCAGGTTGGATTTGGTACAGGACCCTTCATGCGAAGACAAGCCACGACTTGTAGCCACGCCGACTATGTTTCACAACAAACAACGACATAACAAGGTGAAGAATAGTCAAGACCACAAGTCAGGCCGTTCTATTCGTATATGGCACTTGCTTCTTGCTGACTTTCGATTTTCCAGGCTATCATTCAGTGTGACATTCATACCTTGCCTTCTTGTCGACCTGTCAAGCTTGATCGTTGCCTAGGCTCTCACCGATAACGCGTTCAGCGGAGAGTACCGTTCGGCTTTCGAGATACTATCGGTGCTAAAGCTGCAAGGGCTCCGATCCATACCACTCTCGTGGAAAAATTCCATGCTAGAACGCCCTATCTTCGAGATATCGCCCCAAAAGTTCAGTCAGATATAGCAGCGTACTCTTCTTGTCCTGGGCTGCCGAAGAATAGATCGTCCCTACTCCATGCCCGTAGGCGCGGGAGGACGATTGGATGGTAAGACGTGCTGTCCTTATAATGGCCACGAAGAACAATAAGCTAAATAGATTTAGGAGCCTTGACGCCGGCATTGCGCAGCCACGTCATCTCGAACACGG